CATAGCGTGGAAACGTGTCCTGGAGAAGAATAGTAAGGAATGGGCAGCAAATATCTACTCAGAATTAAGTACACATTTGGGAATCTAGTAGGAGGGAAAGTATATTAGTAGAAAGTTCGAAACAGGGAGATTCGCAATCTTTTTGGCATAGTCATATACTGCAGCCACAAATGCGTCATTCATCGGAACAGGGTCGGAAGGAAGCGACGTTAATAAAGGAATGATCATACTATACTATGACCATAAGTGTTATTCTGATTAATTGAGACTAGAAACACCTTCCGGCCTGCACAAGTAGTTGTCGTGTGACAAACACCTTTCAAATGACTCCGAGTGGGGTCACTGCATGGCGCATACCAGAACGGAATGGATCTGCGCCAAGTGTATCATTTTCAATTTACTCCATCGAACTGACGTGTACAGAAGCATTTTGAAGGTGTTCAAAGAAGTTCCTACTACGGCGAGGGAGTAATAGAGTTTTCGAGTGGCTTCGAAAATTTCCTTGACATTTCCTCGACGCAGATTTCTCGCGAACTAGAAATGTTCGAAACAACCGCAACCTTTCAAAAGCGCAAATCTTCTAGTTTACAACGCTTGTCTCCGATTTTCAAAAGATTGCCAATGAAGAAAGTTACAGTCTTCCAAAGAGTGGAAAACTCGCATGTAAATTTCAATTTCCTCGACAATTCCTCGACGTCTCCAACTCTCGAGATAAGACGTGCTTGAAAAAAAGCTCAGCAATTTAGAAATTAGAAGTTTCATGCATTCAGATGCTGTCTTCTCTGAAATGATTGTGGCTGAAGAAAGTTTTCCTTCCAAATAGGGAGTACATTTGGCGTTTTTTCCAACTAGCACGCTCTAGGCACAACGCGCGACGCGTCTGCGATAGTTACTGCCACTATACTGGAGCGCGAGACTGTTTAACTGTCTGCAGCACCCTTTTTTACTCCTGTACTTGTCTAGAAGAAGTCTATTCCCTGTTCTTATTTTGGTTTCTCGTCTATCACAGGTTAGTCCGTTTTCAGATCCAGTTCTTCGAAAAAGACTAGCCTTGTGCAAAGTAAGTTCAGGATTTGAACCGCGGAGCATTCGCGTGGCAGCGGAGCCTCCCTCTTCACATCTAAAAATAACATTTTTCATTATGAAACGGAGAGTAAAAAGGGGTCGTATCGGAGTCTCTGATGAGGGGGAGGGGTCGTAAAAAGGCGGCCATTTCCTCGACACGACTTTCACACTGCCTTGGAGAGGGAAGGATCTTCGGAAAAAATGAAAGTGATGTACCTTAGCTTCTCTTATCCCCACAAGTAGCGTAATCCCTTTTTCAAGGAGATTCGCGATTTATTTAAATACACCACCACATTGCCCCGCCTCATAACGTCCACTTTTCTTGCCTCTCAGTCAGTTCAAGTCTTTGAAAGGCGTATAGCTGTAAATTGCAGTAATCCTGTTGTGTTTGGATACTCCACAAGTTCGACGCAAATTCATGAAGAAAGTCTCCCTTATGGGAATGATCACAGATGAATACGTTTATGTCCTGATAGGAATGCGTGGCACTGGATTTGGTACGTTCTGTAGCCACCAATGTTTCCGTATTTCTATAGCACACACACTCCAACTTGTTTTAGGGCAAGTGGCAAAAGGAATCGGTGAACGTGAGTACTTCGACATGCTAATGTTTTCCCTTTTGGGCTTCCGAGATAATGAGAGATGCTACTCTGGCTTCTCGAGCGGTCTCTATTTGCGCTGAATGCCAGACTGGGCCCGGACCAGGGTCAACCGCCCATTGCGCAAAGAACAGCGAGGGGGTCGTATATGGCCTGAACGAAAGGGTAGGAAGTCAAAAGTTTTGGAATTTGCGCAACGCAGGGTTGACCCTTGGCCCGGACTACTACCGCCGAGCTACCCATTCATAGCTCCGTGCGGAGATTTGTTTTGCAGATTTATATAATACTATGTATGGTAGTTTGAGTTCAGCGTTCAAAAGTACAATACATTCCGGGATAGGGCCTTCTTTTGGAAGGCAATGGCGACCTGGGATCCTTTCCTTGCGAGCCGGATATTTATCGACATTTGCCCATGAATGTGGGTTTGGCTGGGAGTAATCCTGGGAGTAATTCCACCCATAGAATACGAATATCACGTTCGTTTAGTCCGCAAACTTTGGAAGCCCGCGTTAGAAGAGCCCGCGCCGACGCTAGAACACCATCGATCACCAAATTCCCTGGCAATTGGCCATAAGGACCAACTAGAAATCGTATTAGGAACATAATCAACCAGATTAGTTCGTCTTGGATAAGCTTGCAGCCTGCGCCACAGGCGCTGGCGCAGAACTGATGCGATGGCGCCTCTGGCG